TCACGCTGTGCGTGAGGGGGCGTATTAGAATCCCACATTGTTTGGGAAAATATAAATGATCCACTTTATAAGGTGAGGGCAATCCTCCCCTAATAAGCCGGTTTTATTAGGTGGAGTTAGGCCCAATATTCTTAACATCGTGTTAAAGTATGTGATCCTTCTTTCGGTGTTAATTTTGATGTTGTAGAGTTAGACTATGGATCAGATAAAGAACACGGGAAAATGTCCTATTGCAAATGTAATATTCTTTTTGATGTATTGAAGAATTTGAGTCTTGAATTGTTGTACGTTATTAGTTGATGTATACACTGTCACTGCTACACGGGGATTTGCATGTTCATGGACCGTATATTGATAAGAATTCCTGGGGACCGCTGATTCTTATTTTTTCTTTCTTTTTATTGCTATTAATAATAATACAGTGGCAGTAATTGATGTAGTATTGTCCCTTTTCCTCAGTTCTTTAAAGACCGACATTACTTGGATAAAGAATGGGGGAACTACTTCTCTGTGAGTACAGAGAAAATTTTCTTTTGCTTACAGTTTTTAGTAAATTAGTTGGTTAAATTTCCTAATTACACAACTCAATCCTCATAGGGAGCAGGAATAAAAGTCATTCTAGAGGTAATCCTATTTTCTCAGTTTTTGTAATTTGGTTGATTAATTTTGTTTGCCTCTGTTCTGGTGCAAGTAATTAATTTTCCTGCACGTGTTAAGCTCACGTTTAAAATTAAAAATTATCATAGTTCCAAGGCATTTTAACTGCTTTCTTTATTGTTTTCTCTTTAAAAAGGGGTATCATGAGCATTCTTAATTACCAGGTTGGATGCGGGGCTGAAAATACTATCTTTCCTCTGCTTGCAGCATACCCAGATATATTTGTACATGTCTGTGATTTTTCTCCACGTGCAGTGAACTTGGTTAAGGTTAGATTTCTTGTATGCTGTTGCGTGTTTTTGAAATGGTGATAATCTATTAAGCAGTTATATACATAAATCTTTTACTTCAAGTGTTTCCTAAATCCTACTCCAATATAGCACATGAAGCACATAATTTACAAGATGGAATGAGGGTAATGTTTTGAAAAAAGGTTTCAGCATTTAGAATATGTTTGGTACACAATACTGAATACGATAGTATCTTAATTCATAGACATGATTTTAACTTCCTCTGTAATACTGTTCAAATGCACAAGGATTTCATGGAGGACAGGGTTAATGCATTTGTCTGTGATCTGACTGTTGATGACTTAAACCAACAGATTTCTCCTTCCTCAGTGGACATTGTGACCACGGTATTACTAATGAGTTATGCTTTGATTTAGTTGGTGCTATATTTGAAAAGTTATTCATATTTTATTATTTTGAAGTTACACTGTTCAAATCTAATTTTTTCCATTGATTGTTGATTATTTTAGTCCTATGATAACCAAGTATCTATTTTACTTATCACACTGGCTGACATGTTAAGTAGGTATTTGTTTTATCTGCAGTATCCCCCTAGAAAATGCCTATAGTGGCACAGAACATCAGAAAAATTCTGAAGGCGAGTGATGATTTTATGCCATAATGAATTTCATTTTACTATTGAGCTTCACGCGAAATTTGAATTTGTTCAATGTGTATCCTAATTTTTTTTTCCTATACAGCCAGATGGTTATGTATTGTTCCGTGAT